CTTTAGCCCGGTCCTTTGGATCCTGAGCTTGAGCTAAGTCGCCGTAATCGGTGAGGAGCGGGTTTATCCGCTCTGGGGATTCCCCTTCTCTGGGAGTTATGTCTCCCTCTCCCCCCCCTTTGGTGGAAGGAATTTGAGAGAGCTTATTGGTAGAATTTCTTCAGGTGTTCTACGTTCCATCTGCCAGTGAATCGTCCCTCCATGGTTTGGAGGAGGAACGTCCCCATGGAACATTTCTTGTAGACCCTGTACAGCCCTTCCCAGTTTTTGGCCATTTTCCACCTTCAAGCGGTTTACTCTTCTCTCGTTTCCGCAGCATCAGGCCCCCAACCTCGATCTCCCTGACTTTGACTGCTTTGTTGAAATACCTTTCGGTGGCTCGATGGTATTCCTCCATGCGCTGTGTGACTAGGTCTCTCCTTTCCTCGATGAAGTGCAGCTCGGCCCGTAGGTTCTCCTCATTTTGTTCCGGCTGGAAGTGTATCGTCTGGTGTGTGGGCACGAGTACCTCCGTGGGGACTTTGGCCTGGAACCCGTATGTCAGTGCGAAAGGAGTTTCCTGGGTCGCTGTCCTTGGGGTCGTCCTGTACGTCCATAAGACGTAATTCAGCTGTTCCGGCTAAGTTGAGGAATAGTCTTCCAGTTTCTTCTTGATTTCGTCCATGATGGTCTGGTTCATGTTTTCTACCTTGTCGTTGGCCTGCGGGTATGCGCGTAACTGAAGCTTTGGAGTGTCTGATGCCCCATTTGGCTAGGTATGCTTTAAAGTCTTTGCCGACGAACTGTCGGCCGTGTTCTGTGATGATTTGTTCCGGGATGCCGAAGCGGCATAAGATGTTTTGCCAGACAAAGCGCCGGCACTGGAATTCTGTGATATTTTCCAAGGGTTCAACCTCTACCCATTTGGTTAAGTAATCGATGGCCACAATTATGAACTTCTTGCCACCGGTCATCCTGGGTAGAGGTCCTAGCAAATCTATCCCTCATCTCGCGAAAGGCAAAGCGACGGTCATCGGGGTGTAGAAGTTAGTCGGCCTCCTCGGCATCTGGGTGTGGTTGAAGCAGTCCCGCTGGATGGCCGACCAATAGTACCCCTGCAGGATGATCTTCGTTGCTAATGTCCGCGGCCCCTGGTAGCTGGAGTAGATCCCTTTGTGAATTTCCTCCATGACTGCTGCAGCTAGGTCCAGCGGCAAGCATCTGAGGATTTTGAGGTACGGACCGCCGAACATCTTCTTGTACAATTCCCCATCGATAAGTTCGAAGCATGGAGCTCTTATTTTTATCCATGGGACCCTCCCAGAGGTTCGTCCGTCTTTATCCAGGTGGAGAGTTTCGTCTCTAAGATAATCGCCTACCTCCTTTGCCCAACTTGGTTCTGCAAAAGAAACATCGTGTACCTTGATAGTTTCCGTTGCCGGATGGAGGAGCACTTCCTGCATGGCAAAGCCTCTGACGTGCCTAGGGACGAGCGTCGCCTGATCCTCAGATAGAGGATTGCCTAGCTTGGACAAGATATCGCCTTCAGCATCCTCGATGTGAGATTTACAAAATGCAATAAATTAGAGAATATACTCACTCCGTCCCTTATAACTTTACCAACTTTCCTTTTTTGGATGTTCCACTAACTTTGCCACTTTCCCTTTTAAATAAAGAATTTGTGGTTCTAGTTAATTCTTTCTCCTCTGCACAAAATTCAACCACACAGTTTTTATTTTATTATTCCCTGTACCGATCAAACTTGACAAAGTTATTAGAGACGGAGGTAGTACAAAACAAAAAAGTCATGTGTACACACTTTTATTGTTTACATATATACTACCACACAATTTGTGAAAGTTCTTTCACATTTTGTCGGTAACAAAAAAACTCTTCACAAACGGTACGTGCAATATATAAACAATACTCCATAAAATGTATACAAAAAAAGTTAAAATCACATAATTCCAGTTTGATGATAGGCAACGGAAGGATGGACGGACGTACCACGCACTTATCGTGTTACCGATAACTTATCCATCAATGATATCATCACACCAGCATGGCTTATCCGGTATGATACAAAAAGTCGCCGTTGTTGGTTTTAAATCAAATCAAAGGTACGTTAGTCTTTTAATTTCTGTAAAAGTAAAAATACAATTTGGATTTATTTAATAATTAGTTTGAGTATAGGCCATGCCAGGCTGTAAATACCCGTACCCTTCGTGTCTGTACCTGTAATATGTATCCCTTCCTCGACAACGATAGGTTTTACACTTGTTTCTGGAGGAGATGGCAATTCATGTCTGAATACATCAAAACATGCATGTGGAAACGGCTTCACAATTTGAGTTTTACACGTGCTTGATAGGTTAGAGCGACATGTCTATATTTGGAGCCCACCTCATACGTAACAAAACAGTAGAAAAAGTAATTGAACCATTAAATTAAATGAACAATTATGTTACTCGTATAACGATATACTCTCTCAGTCTCCGTCCTATAAAACTTGGCCAAATTTCATTTGTATGCCGTCCCAAAAAAATTTAACATTTTCATAGAAATATGTGGCTAAAGTTATTTCTCTCTCTTCTTCACAAATTTCAATCACACAATTTTTACTTTATTAATTTAAATGTAAGTCAACTTTAACCAAGTTTTGTGGGACGAAGGAAGTAGTATTACATAAGATGACATTTTTTTCCGGCGATCGGAGCTGGTGGTGCTAGGAGGTAGAGAACACGTTGGCAGTGACCTACATATTTTTTAAATATTTTTCAGATATTTTATTTTATTTTATTTTATAGACTTTTTTAAAATTTTATAAATATTTTATTACTATTTTTAATTTTTTTAATTTTAATTTATTTTTTGATTTATTTCTTCACGTTTTTATTATTAATTTATAAATATTTTATTTTTTATATTTTTATTAAAAATTAAACTATGATTTTCTTATTAATAAAATAAATCTATTGAAAATAATAGGAAAATGATAGAATGGAAAGAAGGGACATATATTAGTCTTGTTTTGGAAATAAAGGGATTGTACTATTGTTGAATTTTAGAATAATACCTAATCCTATTAAGGGCTAATACCCCAACATTTTAACATATGCAGTAAAACTTTTTACAATAATATTTAAATATTTTTTTAAATTCAGGTTGATAGGTGATAGAAACAATGACACTAATATCAGTCTCTAAGTTTCTAGTTCCAAAAATATCACCATTTTTGTAATTCCAAAAAAGTGACTAGCCCAAAGAATCTTTTCCTCTTCTCCATCGCAGCAGCGCGAGACGAGCGCTGAATATCTTCTTATCCATCCCCAGTAATCTTTCTTCTCAACAGCTCCGCAGTCGGCCATCGCCCCTCCGCAATCAGCCATCGCCCCACCGAAGTCTCCAATCGCACTGCCGCAATCGGCCATCGCACCGCCACCACCTCCGGATCGTACGAGCTATAGCCTCTCCTAGCCATCCAAACGACCAGGAGCGGACCCAGGAAAGTCATTTTGGGGGAGCGAAAATATTTTTGAGGGGGTTCAAAATACTTTTTGGAAGAGCAAAAATTATTTTTCGTATATATATACACTAAAAAAAAATTTGTCGGGGGGGCGGTAGCCCCCCTGAGTCTCTACTACGGCCCGCCCCTGCAAACGACACTCCACCTCATTGCAATAGCCTCACCATCCGATCAACGCTCCACCTCAACACCCACAGAATCCTGATTTCCGATCGAATTTGATGGATTTTACTTTTTTTCAGATCTGAGTGACTCAGGTGCGGTAGGGGTAGGGAAGTGACTGGTGCACAGAGGGGGGCTGGTGCTTAGGGAGGGGACTGTTGCGCAGGGGAGGGAGCTAATGTGCAGGAAAGGGAGGCTGGTGCGCAGAGGATGGGGCTGGTGCACAGGGGAGGACTGGTGCGCAGGGGAGGAGCCTGGTGCGCAGGGGAGGGGGGCTGGTGCGCGGGGAGGGGGTTGGTGCGCAGGGGAGGGGGTTGTGCGCAGCGGGGGGCTGGTGCGCGGGGGAGGGGGCTGGTGCTCATGGGAGGGGGCTGGCATGCAGGGGAGGGGGGGCCGGTGCGGGGGAGGGGGGTTGTGAGGGGACAGGGGTCTGGGGAGGGGCGTGGCAGCATCCGGGAAGTTGCAAGGGGCGACGGATGACAGACGCGGTCCACGATGATGGTCTATGTTGTGGTTTGGGGTGATGGTCTATGTTGTGGTTTGGGGTGATGGTCATGATAGGCTTGGTACGGGGCTGGGGGCATGTGAGGAGCAGGGGAGGGATGAGGTTGGGTACATTGGAAACCACGTGTCACTGTGGCTGAAGACCGCGTGTCAGTGTGACCGTCGACGGTGGTGGCCGCAGATGTCATTGTGCTCGGAGGTTTGTGCGGAGATAGTGACATCAAAATTGGATAGCGACATAAATATTTGGTAGTCATTTTATATTATTTCAAATATATAACCATTTTAGTCACATTTTTATCCAAATATAAATGTAGTCACATTTTCGGAAATCATGTTTTGTTTAGTACTCCTTCCGTTTCGTTAACAATGAGACAAGAGGGGGTGACACGCAAATTAATAAAAAGTGGTTTATGTAAGAATGATTTAAAGCCAAACTTTACCAAACTTGGTAAAATGGGACAATCATACCAGAAGGGAGGTAGTAATATTAAGGTAAAACAAAAAAACTTTTTGTACACACTTTTGTACACACCTATGTTTGTGAAAGATTTTTTTTTGTATGTGAACATTGACTCACAGACAATGTTTTGCACAAATAAAATATTAAGCTTCATAAAGATGGTGTGTATAAGGTGTATACAAGGAGTGTCTGCATGAAGTAGTTTTGAAGGTAAAAAGCCTATCATCCCCTTAGCTCCAGCCGTGGGGAAGTACCGAGTTACTCAAAGTAAGACGGCGTAATACGCAATGGGGTAATGGCGTAAGATAAAGACACAAAACTCCCCAATAAAGCCATCATGTCTTCATAACACCAATCGCTTAACCACCCTACTCTAGGTCGCCTCCACTTCAATTTGTTGTATGCTATTTTGATTATTTTAGATGGGCTTCCAAGTCTTTTCCGCTTCGCCGGCCAGTAAATGGATTGGCTTTGTCACCGCCGTCTGGGTCCAGGCCATCTCCGGCAACAACTACACCTTCTCCAACTACTCCGACGCCCTCAAAAATCTCATGGCCCTAACTCAGCTCCAGCTCAACAATCTCTCCGTCGCAAAAGACGTCGGAAAAGCTTTCGGCCTCCTCGCCGGCATCGCTTCCGACCGACTATCCACTCCCGTCATTCTCCTCATCGGTTCCGTCGAAGGCTTCATCGGCTACGGCGTCCAGTGGCTCGTCGTCAGCCGCCGCATCCAGCCGCTGCCGTACTGGGTCATGTGCATATTCCTCTGTATGGGCGGGAACAGCACCACCTGGATGAATACCGCCATTCTCGTCACCTGCATCCGGAATTTCCGGAAAAACAGGGGCCCTGTTTCCGGGATTTTGAAAGGGTACGTCGGTTTGAGCACCGCCATCTTCACCGATATCTGCTCCGCCCTGTTCGCCGACGACCCGGCGAAATTCCTGTTCATGCTCGCCACAATACCGTTCGTGATTTGCATCGCCGCCATATTCCTCCTCCGCGAAATCCCGCCGTCGGCCACCGCGGAAGAAGAGAAGGACGAAGTGAAGTACTTCGGGGTAGTCAACGTCATCGCAATCGTGATCGCGGTCTACCTCCTGGCATTCGACGTAACAGGGCCACACGGTCGCGTGTTCTCCAAATTCTTCGCCGCCGTTCTTCTGGTTCTCCTGGCTTCGCCTCTGTCAATTCCGATTTACATTAAAGTAAAAAGCTGGGTCCGACCCGATTTAAGAATCGCCGTCACCGACGAGGAAACGGACACCGCCTGCGAGCCTCTACTGGTCGCAGAGGAAGTTGCGCCGGTGGAGAGGAGCGGCGATACGGTAACGCCGGAGGCAGAGGAAGAGGTGAAGGCGGAGAAGAAGTTTCCGGTGATCGGAGAAGACCATACGATATTTGAGGCGATTAAAACGGTGGACTTCTGGATCTTGTTCGTGTCGTTTCTGTGCGGAGTAGGGACGGGTTTAGCGGTGATGAATAATATGGGGCAGGTGGGGTTGGCTCTGGGCTACGCCGACGTCTCCATCTTCGTGTCGCTGACCAGCATTTGGGGATTTTTCGGGCGGATCCTCTCCGGTTCCGTCTCCGAATACTTCATCAAGTACGTTTTCTCCCTTCGTATTTTTTACGCAACTTTTCTTTACCCACCGTCTTCAACTTACCTTCTTGTTTTGACTTTGGTCTTTGGGGAAAGTCTTAGTCACGTATACGTCCTATTGAATTACGACACGTGGGTTTTTATCATCCTTTTTTGCTTTTTTTTATTAATACATTATTAATATGAATCAACATCAACTCATAGGGGTGTTTGGGTAATCCTACGACCTTTTTACTCTAAAACTTCATTATTTTTAAGAGCAAACGCTGTAGGATTTTGGATTTTGCAGCGTTTTTACCCCAATTCAATGAAATACAAATGTACCGGCGGACGTAGCTCAATCGATAGCGAGAGAGTGACACATGAGTTACCTTCCGGGTTCGAATACCGGCAATTTCCATGAGAGGTGACTATACTAAAAAAATGCATATGACCTCTGCAAGTATCCGAGACAGATTTGGGGGCCCTCAGGGATGAGGTGTCATCCTTTTTTTTTCATGAAATACAAACGTGACCAGTCCTGACCACTTTAAAAAATTTGAATAATTTTTCTTTCTCGTTTAGAGCGGATAGAAACACTGAATTTAATTTAAATCCGTTGAACCAATGAAATTTTGGATTAAAATATTTATTCTGTCCCTTAAAACTTTGTTATTTTTTCTCTTTGACATGTTCTAAATTTTTTGTCACTTTCCATTTTAATTAACTAATTTGTAGAGATTTTTGTCCTTTAAAATTTGTGTTAAACTTATTAAAGTTTTAAAGGCGGAGGGAGTAGCTTTTATGGGAAATTATATCGGTTTATGAACTAGTTATATACTTGTATTTAGAATTAGAATGGAAAGAGTTGTTAAAAAGGATAATTTGAATTTGCACCTTATTTTATTGTCCAAATTGGATTTTGCAAATCATTTTTAAAATTCTTTGTATTTTCACCCTAACCCCGTATGAAAAGAAAAAAATGTGCTCATCAACAATTTTGTTGGGCCTCAACATATTCCTAATCGAGGGGCATTTTTGTCATCTCATACGGGATTGATGTGCAAATACAAAGAAATTTAAAAACGAAGTGCAAAGTCCAATTTGAACGATAAAATTGGATGCAAACTCAAATTACCCCGTTAAAATTGTACTCCGTATTGCTTAGCAAATTCACTCAAAAAATACTTCCAATTTTGGTTATTTCTATTTCTACACAATTCAATAGTTCATTACTGAAAACAAAAATACAAGAAAGAATTTAGTTAATAGTGCTCATAAGCAAAAAATGCTTTACAGAACATAAAAAATATTAACAAATTCAATCATTGTGTACGAAAAGTGTACACAATGTGTACAGCAAGCAAAACCCATGTTTTTATTGTTAGGTGGAATGAGAATCGTAGGAGGTGCACGAAACAATAAAAGAGGTTTATATCTAGCAGAAAGGTCAACTTTGTCACCTGTTACTAGGTTTGAACATTCGCCCCTAGATCCAAAACTGAGATAAACGAGTAAATACAATTTATCTTGTTAAATTATGTTGTTATAAATCTTTGTTCCCATGAGGTGAATAAGAGGATTATACTCTACATTCAATGTTACTCTTCTCGATTAACATTTTGTTATTGAATCTGGTTCTATAACTTTTTTTCAATAAAAATTGTCATGTCTAAATTCTAAAAGTGTCTCTTTTTGTGATTTAGTAAAAAATCCGTAGTAAATTATCTAATACGTAGTATGTAAATTATAATTATAAACAATGATTTATTTGCTAATGTGAAATAAGTTTAATCTAGGCGGGGTCACTTCATATTTACAAACCTACAAACATGTTTGCACAAATAATATATATACAAAAACTTTTCTTCCAATTTACTACCCAAACACCATTTTGGCATAGAGTGAATTTTCTGCTTCGGCTTAAGAAATGGGATGGAATGGAATATAGGAATGCTTTTTTGATGCCTAAAGAATATGCAATGATAAAATTTGAAATCGACGACGCCAAGACCGGTGGGCATAGCTCAACTGGTAACAAGGGAGTGCCCCTATTCCCCTTTTTTGGTTTATTATTGTAAAAGATCACAACTACATCCTTTTGCCTTTTTCAAAAATCCCCAACTTTACACTTTACATAATTCAATTAATTATTAAAATTTCTATTATGATTTTTCATTATTTAGTGAAGAATTGAATAAAATAATTGGTGAATATGAAATTAATTTGGCTGACAATACACATGATCAACATGTTTATTTCGAATCTTTAAAAGCTTATCCTGATTTCAGAAAAAAGATTGTTAATTTGCATCCTAATGTTCAAGACGAGGTGCACCGTAGTAGGGACTATGAAACGTTGTACTACTTTAATATTTGGAATTTTATCAATTCAAAACTTGAAAGGTAGAGGAATTATTAATCCGAGACCTGAAAGATGAAATTTATAGATATAAGACTCAAATGATGAAAATTGTCAATTTAGGACTTGAATGATTGAAGACTATCAATCTCGGACCTATATTGTCATGAATTTTTATTATTTTTATGTTAAAATTTTTAAATATTACTCCGTATTTAGTTTTATTAAACTAATAAACTTTGATGGAAAAAAGTTTATCAAAAATTAGCAAAGGAATTAATAAAAAATAAATAAATCAAAATCTATGAAATCTTAGATCCTAGATTGATAATTTTCATCTTTCGGGTCCTGTATTAATACATTTCATCCTTCGGGTATCGAATTTATAATTTATCTATCTTTAAGGTCCTGAATTAATAAAATTTCTTAATATTTTGATGATGTACATTAACTATGAAATGTTATGCTACTTTAATATTATATACTTACATTTTTTTTAATTTTTTATTGGTTAGAGTTAGGGGTGGACCGGTTCGGGCCGGGCATCGGTTCTATTTTTTTTTTTTTTTGGCTTTTCCTAGTTAACCCCCAACCCTCCCCCACACCCCAAACCAACCCTAACCACCTCAAATGGCCCAAAATGCCCAGCTCAACCCAAAAACTTAAAAAAAATTCAAAAAACAAAAAAAAATTGGCCCGGCCCGGCCCGGGCCCGAACCGGCCGGGCCGGTTCACCTTTTGAAGGGCCCGAGTTCGAACTGCCATCCCACCGGGCCCGGAACCGGTTCACCGGTCCGGGCCAGGCCCGCACAGTAGCGGGCCGGTCCGGTTCCGGGTCGGTTGGCCCGGCCCGAGTCCACCCCTAGTTAGAGTTACATTAAAGTAGGGACCCTGTGACTCCGATTTTCTGGGTCCGCCACTGATAAAGGGTTACTATGTTAAAAATGCATAGGACCTCTGCAAATACCGGGACAGAACCCCACTCTCTATCTATCAGATTGAGATTATAGTCCAATTTACATCCTCCCAACGTACCGTTCGATCGGGGTTGAGTGCCCTCGGGGATGAGGTGTCACCCTTTTTGAAATTGAGGCTAAGTGGTTGGGAAATGGGAATGAGTTACTTCCGTACTTCGTACTTTATGAGCACGTGCCATGTTGTTACCACGTTTGTCGGATACGATATGTTGAATATCTGGTAGACCTAAAGTACTGAATGATTGACTTTGCAGAAAAGGTGGGACACCCAGGCCAGTATGGAATGCAGCTTCTCAGATTCTAATGGCAGTAGGGTACATAACATTGGCCATGGCACTGCCCGGCTCTCTCTACATTGGATCCATAGTTGTCGGAATCTGCTACGGTGTCCGTCTCGCCATCACCGTCCCGACCGCCTCTGAGCTCTTCGGTCTGAAATACTACGGCCTCATCTACAATGTTCTCATTCTCAACCTCCCGCTCGGATCTTTCCTCTTCTCCGGTTTGCTTGCTGGCTTATTGTACGATGCTGAGGCTACCCAGACGGAAGGTGGCGGCAACACGTGTATAGGCACACATTGCTACAGGATGGTGTTTATAGTGATGACCGTTGCGTGTATAGTTGGTTTTGGACTCGATGTCCTGCTTTCTCTTCGGACCAGACGCTTGTATTCACGGATATATACCACCAGGAGAACTAAGAAGACGATTGCCGCTACATTGTCTTAAGTAGTTCTTTTTCCCTCTGTGAGAAGCTTGGATTATTGGATATTTAATTCTTTTTTGAAGGCATTAGTGCTAGTATAGTAAAATAAGTTGGGCTTAGTTGATAAGCCGGAGATGACGCTTATGAACAAGCTCATCTCATTCATGTATTATTTTCAGTTCATTTATGTCATCCTCTTTTGCAGAGTAAACAAAATTTCAGGTAAACTTATTTCAGTTTGTCCTGAACGACTTGTTTCAGTTCCCAAATCAGATCTAAACTTATCAGGTCAAACCAAATTTTAATACCTACCAAATCAAGCAAGACTCGAACAAATCATTAATACTCCCCACAAGACCAGATATTACAACTAAAAGTAACCCATAACACACTTAAACATACCACACTAGAATAGACTACATTCAAAAGATCCCGTCTACAAAATTCAGTCCAAGAGAATTGGGTCTAAAGGGTAATAAACTATCAAGCAATGACTCAATGTATAACCATGAACATTTCTAGTTGTAACGCTATACAAAACAATTGACCCAAACTTGGCTCCAGCTTATTTATTTGGGAAAATGAGATTGAGTTCAAATTTGAAGTCCAAACCAGACATACTTGGGTCCGCTTGAAAACTAAACTTCGGTTTGTAAGGGAGTATAATTTCCACTAAACTCCTATTGATATTACTCATTACATTGAGTAAGCTTAAAATAATCCAAGTACAAGCTTGGCTTTGACCTCAAAACCTTAACTGGTCAAGCTCGTGCTACACATGAAATAAGTTTGAGTGAGCTCAAATATTTGTATTTGGGCTAATTGCGCTAGTTGCAACATTTAAACCATGAATAGTTCAAACTACAAAAAAGGATGTGCATTGGATGATATATGTTTTCTGTACCACATTTGTAATAAACCAAATCATAGACCTACCCAACAACCCAAAAATGGTCTGCAGTGTCCCTTTGGAACACCTGTTTATGTACACAAAATACTTGTTTCCCAAGTCGAGTCATCATATCCAGGACAAGCTTGTGCTTTCCAGTCATTTCTATCTACAAGATGATGAACTCCAAAATGAAACAAACTTCAACTGAGACAAGGAACCATACAACAGCTAGTAGCACCCCCATTTCAACTGCTGTTGTTTCAAGAATTAACCTGAAGGAGTGAGCCGCCAACCAAGAAGTGCCATATAAACATAAGTGTTCATTGAGAGCATAATCTTACAGAACTACAGGTTATAATGCAACCTACAACTGATCATCTCTATTATTCATAGAATAATGAATGTATACTACAAAAGTACCCCTGAAGTTTTTTTTGAGTACATGTTACTACGGGTATTAAAATAATAGTTTACTACTATTGATGTAAATGACAATAACACAAAAATATGGATACTGAAGACCGTAAAAAATAAATGTCGTAACTTCTTTAAGGAACAATGGAAGTGTATGATTAATGATTCACTACATTTTAAATAAAATGTTTATAACAGTTGAATATTTTGACGCATGAAAAAATTCACAACGTGAATTGACTTTTCCAATTTGAACCACAAGTCCATTCTTACGCCTAACCAGACCTTTTTTATATTCGATAATTAACCAACTACGATAGTATTTACTATTTAAATTATTATTTAATCGTCAACTAGAATTACATTTCCGTTGGGTTAAAGGTCCGACAGGGGAACGACCCTTTATCCCTTAGCAAGATATCAGATGGACGCTCGTCTTACTAACGAGACGCTCAGCGTCAGTATCCTTCGCCCAGTGGAGCCAGGCGGTGGTCCAGAGGGCCTCGGGGAGAACAACCAACCTAGGCCGAGCGGAGCCCCGTCCTTGTACTCATTTGGGTCAAGAAACCAAGCTCGAGAGGACGCTCGTCCGGACCCATTGGCGGGAATCCAAGATATTGGCGGGAAACACATTTAATGCTCCACATCATCAACATCACCTACCCATTGGCCGTATAAATAATAGCATTTATTTCATTGTAAGGAGTTGACAACTTATACTCTCTAGCAATAGCAATTATTCCCCCCTTTTCCTAGCTCAGATAGACGATCAGCCTAGTGGGCTTGTAGTGAAGTGTGTTGTGACAGACTTTTATTATTGATTAATAAGACACGGCTCACTTACTAGACTCTTGACTTGTCCATTATTTGTTTGTATTGTTCTAATACTCATAATCTACTAAATATTCCACTCGAAAACCAAAGGGAGGTGTTGGGCCTTTTGAGTTGAAGGAATAAACCTCAACATTGCACCAATATAAATAAGAAACTGTTGTTATTTGTAATCGTATTTCATAATTATACTTTATTTAGTATATTATGAATGCAAATGAGGAACTCTTCTTACGGCGTTGGTATAAGTTTTCTAAGAATTATTTTTAACTAAAAAAATTACTAGATTATTTTATTTATATTCTTAGTCCATTAGAAATATATTATTGGGGGGCAGGTGCCTCACTACTAATAGCCTACATCCGCACCTCCCGCAATTGGTTAGTCACATCATTATAAGATGAAATGTATGCACGTAACAATGAAGATACTATATATTAAGATGAGACATACCGCTAGCATGATGATGCCTTCCAAGGTACATCATCGTTTTATTAACCAGTGGCAAGTCTGCAGACTGCTTTCGTACCGATAGCACTTTCTGGCTGCAAACATAGTTCCCATGAAATTTGATGTTAACATTTTTCTTTTCTTGAAAACCTAAGCTATTCACTAAAAATAAAGAATAATGAAAAGCAACTTGTAAAGTTCAATATCCAACCACTCAACCAGGTTGCTACTTACCTGGATTCTTAGGGGCAAAAATTCAAAGGGGGTAAACAGGAGTTTCAATGGAACTTTTCAGGATTGTTTGGTTTGGGGATTGGGGGGGGGGGGGGGGGGGGGGGGATAGGTGATCCTTTTTTCAACTATTTCTACATTTAGATGGTTCAAAAAAGTGAAGATAAAGAGTTATACAGAAACACATGATCCAAGTCATCTAACAAATCGCATAGTTATTGACTTCTTTCTAGTGTAGATCTAACATATAGATATAAATTAGTAAAATAAACATCAATAATGCCCTTCCCACTGGAACCTCCAAACCAAACAAGCCCCTAGAGAGTCTTTGGAATATGGGAAGTTCTCATTCTCCTTCATTTCATTTAATTCTTCCATGGATATTTTATAAGCAAAGCAAAGTTACCTTCTGTAGTAGTCATTACCAAAAACAAGGAAAGGAGGATGATAGAAACAGAAAGCAGACGATATTAATGTCTGCCCCTAACCTTAGGCTCAAACCAAATCTTTATTCTCTATCTGAATAATAGTTCACAAGATCAAACCTCCTTAAATACTCCTTAACCTAATAATAAAATATGGCCATCTAGGCCCAGTAACCTAATAATAAAATATGGCCATCTAGGCCCAACAGTTTATTAGAAATAACAATTGAATGAAAGTAATAAAACCGAGCAGTCAACCCAGCCCAATTAGGTCCACTGACAGCGACAGTAAACTAATAACGGGCGAGGCCCGTCCTCCTGAAGCATCGGCCCAGTTGCCGCCTCCTAGAGCCTCGGCCCATCTGCCTCCCACTCCCTAACAATTTCCTCCCCCTCTAAAACAACCTTGTCCCCAAGGTTGGAGTGAGAAAGCTGCTGCTGGCACTGCTGCACCCCCAGTCCATGTTGCATCATCTTCCGACTGACCAACCTACTACACCACACCTGCTCCACATTTGGCCAGAATAAAGTGGCGGGTTCATCTATCACAACTGCCCAAAATTCCATGTCCCTGATCCGAAGCAGGGCCTGTAGGTCCACTTGTTTCCGGACGAGTGCCGGGTCTCCTTGTAATACTACCGGCATGCCCTGACAGTCAAATGACATAGTCATCATATCCCAGTTGGTCCGGACCTCTCCCAAGGATGCTAGCCATGCTACTCCCAGTATAACATCCACTCCTCCCAAAGGAAACACATAACAATCTGTTTGTACTTCGCATCCCGGTAGCGAGATCAACACCCCCTTGCAAATCCCTTCTGATTCTTGGCGACGACCGTCCCCTAGCTGTACACAAAACCTCCTCGTCTCTTCTGCCTTTAATTTGAGTCGTGGTACAAGGGAGGCTGAAATAAAGTTGTGACTTGCGCCACTATCCACCAAGATGGTCACTTTGAACCCCTCAATCACGCCTTTGAGTCGCATAGTACAGCCGTACGGGAACTCCAAATTCCCGCCATCGAATATACGGGTAAGTCCACAGGAGGAGGCACGGCTGATTCGCAGAACTCCAACAACCCTAGGTCTGTGACCGCGCCTCTGACGCTACCAGCGTTTGAGGGGGCAGACCCGATTGGATGGCTCGCCAGGGCCAATCAGCAGTTTGAAATCCATCAAACCCGACCTGAGTTGAAGGTGGCGTCAGCCATGGTAGCAATGGGGGGTCCTGCTCTGTACTGGTTTTCTTGGACACGGTCGCGGAAACCAGGACATAGCCTGGGAGGAGTTTTCACAAGCCCTTGTAGCCCGTTTTGATACTCGGTTCAAAGGAAGCACGTTCGAACGGTTGGCCGACGTTAAGTAGACAGGATCCGTGGATGACTATGTGAATATGTTCGTGCAATTAGCCAGTCAGGTCCCAGGTTTGAGTGATGCCCACTACTTGGGGTACTTTATGAAAGGGCTATGGGACACCATTCGCAGTTCCTTAAGGATCCTAAAGCCGGCTGATTTGGAAGCTGCTATGGAATTATCTAGAGATATCGAAGACGATTTGGCCGTACAGTCCGGAGGGAGACCGGAACGGGGTTACAACGATCAGCGGTGCCGTTCCAGTAATTACACCAAAGTTGGCGGGTTTTCGGGTTCTCGTCCACACCAGTTGCTGGAAACCAAGGGACAGCGGGAAGCACAACTTCCGCGCGGTCTCCACGAACATATTCACGTAGTCATCCACGGATCCTGTCTACTTAACGTCAGCCAACCGTTCGAACGTGCTTCCTTTGAACCGAGTATCAAAACGGGCTACAAGGGCTTGTGAAAACTCCTCCCAGGCTATGTCTGGTTTCCGCAACCGTGTCCAAGAAAACCAATACAGAGCAGGACCCTCCATTGCTACCATGGCTGACGCCACCTTCAACTTAGGTCGGGTTTGATGGATTTCAAACTGCTGATTGGCCCTAGCGAGCCATCCAATCGGGTCTGCCCCCTCAAACGCTGGTAACGTCATAGGCGCGGTCACAGACCTAGGGTTGTGGGAGTTCTGCGAGTCAGCCGTGCCTCCTCCTCCTGACTCAGAATCAGCCAACGGTTCCCCGACGCCGTAACCTTATGTTCCGCTTCTATCGCATCCATGCGTTAATCAATGGTGGAACGAATCATGATGAACGTAGGGTGGGGGATAGGATCCGGCAGGTCGGACCAAATTGATAGAAACTGAAAACCCTAGCAAACAATATTAACGTCTGCCCCAGGCCCAAACCAAATCTTTATTCTATATCTGAATAATAGTTCACAAGATCAGCCTTAGGTCCACTGACAGCGACAATAAACTAATAACGGGCGGGGCCCGTCCTCCTGAAGCATCGGCCCAGTTGCCTCCTCCTAGAACCTCGACCCATCTGCCTCCCACTCCCTAATAGAGGAAGTCCAGACTCTAGACAAATTCAACAACAACAAGCTTTAGTCCCAAAAGAGTTTGGAATCGGCTAACATGAACCACATATGAAATCGGAGTTAAAAAGATATTTATAGAAAAGAGAGATAACAAAAACTAAACTCTAGACAAATCATTACCTAAAATTGATAAGCTAATGAAGGTATTAAATCAAAATAAAATAAACCCAACGAGCCATATTTAAGCAAATCAATTAGCTAGCATTCTCCACAATTCACCCAATTGAAATTTTTAACATTTTTAGCATGTATTGGAAACAAACAAGGTAACAGAACTTTAAAACCATGACAATATCGCCAAATTAAGAAAGTAAAGTATAGACACATAGTGCACCTTTATATGTGACCATCACATATATTAGAACTTATAAAAATGGTCTCCAAAGGGCACAAGGCACCTTTGAGTTGTTCCATTTTACATTTTTACTAACTACTGAAAACATGCCTCACAGTCAAAACATTGTGAGCAACATTAGTTTTAGAACTATTCAATCAGCAATAGTACAGAGTACTATTTATGTAATACGAGCCATCCTCCATCCCTCCATTTCATATACTTTTATTTGTCAATCAACTTAACATTCCGTTGCAACAAAGCATTATCATTTTTAATGCATTGTTTGCTGAAGATCTTTGCAGCTGCCCATATAGAAAAAGATTTTCACACCAAGGACTATGCTGATATGTGAAAACTGAAAACTGAGTGAGCACTATGGGTAACTTGGCATGTTTGAGCATTCGAAACAGCAAACCTTTACCTTCCCACTTTCCAATTGACTATCACACAAGTTTCGTGTTAGGAAGTTAAATTGGTTTTGATTATAAGAAGCATAGGCATTTAGAGGTCATACCACCTAAGTCCAGTAAGGGGATTAGGTCTTATGTCCAAATGAACTATACTTTATATACATGGGTAAGACACTTTCCCAGTTTGGTTAAGTTATATTCTCTCTTCCCTTAACACCTTTTCTTCTCAGATATAATAAATATGGCCCAATTTGAACAATTGATTGCAATTACACTTTCATTCTAAAGTCAACTGAATGCTCACCAAAGTGATTTAAAAATGGCGGGCGAATAAAAAGTACATGGTCCTGAGGATAATATTGTTCTTTTACTCCTTGAGGTACAGTGAAACAGTTGATTAAACAAAAGTACAAAACAACTGGCTGAGTAACCTTCCCCGCTTATATATAAATTCCACCTATGCAAGTCATGAATATACTATAATCTCCTACACTTATACCAAAAACATGTATTTGCTGTGAGAAAATGATATACTATATTGAAGCAGATTTTACTCATTGAGTAATCATTATATCCTAATATGAAATGGATATGCTCCCAATTGCCAACTACCTCGTGAAATTTTCCTCTATAATTCACGTTTTACAGAACCTTTAGCTTTGCTCATTAAATAAGGCCATTGCAACCAAGATCTAGATAATCTGATTAAAACCACCTAATAAGCTATTTGAACTGTAAACTGTCTACACACACCATGAACGAAACCAAATTGTTTAAAATCTAACACAATATTTTTTTTAAAAATCTAACACAATACTACTACTCTGTATTAAATAAGAAACTAATGTGATCACTGATCATGTCAACCAGAAAAAACCGAGTAGATGTTTTTTCTTTGGTCAAGTACAACTGAGAGTCTGAGATTTCATGTTATTATATGTAGTATCTATCAAACAATGGAAGTTTCTTCTAGCAATCTGAGGAAAAGTTGGTTCTACAGAGATTATAGGGAAAGGACCAGCAGGTGTGCTACTATGCTGTATCACTGTATCCACTGGTATACCAAGAAGGCAAAGCAGAAATATCTGACTAAGGATGTTTTTACTTCGACTGTAATTTGCTGGTCTGGTCTGATCTGGTCTGGTCTAGTGTGGTCTGATCTGGTCTGGTTTCTTTGTATTTTTATAACTATCCAAGTCTGGTCTGGTCTGGGACGAATTACAGTCCAAGTAAAAACATCCTAAAGCTAATTGAAACATACAATTTGCACCCACAACATGAAGTCATCAAATATAGGTGAAAAGAAGGATAGAACACGATGGTATAATAATCACCTGGTATAGGGTGGCGGACAGAACATGATCAGGTAATCAGCGCCGGCGCAGGTGAAGGTGCTAGTCTTGTCGTCGTAGGCATAACTGTAAGATCGTGGGCAGGCGTACTTGAAGTAGAGAGAGTAAGCCGAAGGGTGGCAAGTGTCCGGCGTGGCGTAAGCTTCACTGCAGCAGTAAATTGGATCGTTGAATGCCAAGCACGCGCTTTTACAAGCCACGCTCTCGGTGTGTCTCCCTTTCCCAAGCGACACCCTCAAGTCCGACGGGCAGGCACTGTTCAAGTCCACCAAGCATCCGGTGGCGGCGCAGCCCCCGCCCTTCCCACCCTTTGCCACAATCAGCATCGGCAGGTTGTACCCGTCTACGAGGCTGACGTCATAGAAATCGAGCCCCTGGTCACCGTTAAGGGTGAACTCGGCCAAGGTGGCTGGGGGAATAGCGCCACCTCCGGCACATGCTATCTTCCCGGATCCGCAATCTCCGGTAACACATACGAACTTGCCTGTAGAGTCATTGGAGCAGAATGTTCGGCCCCATACCCGACCCGACCACGAGGTGGGCACCGAAAGAGTCCTGGATTTGCCACTCTTGAGCTTGAATCCCGTCGGGTAGAGTATTGGCCGGTTAGCACCGGTCAGAATTCCAGGCCATACTGTATGCCGGCATTGATTCACTATCTTGAACGTCGTTGACTGCACTTCTGTGGAAGAAATTAGAGAAGAGTCGTCAAAATTTCAACGAAAATGTAAAAGCGCGTATAACTTTACTCACAGGATGAATGAACTGAAAATCAATTAGTCAGAGCTTGCAATGATTAGTACCGTGGAAAAGAGAAGAAGTACAGAAGAGAAGACATAGACAATTAATGGCGAGGAGGCGACCCATTCGGAAGACTTAAGACTCTTTACAATTCAGTTTTCAACTGTAATTGTTTAATAAACGAAAAAAAGGGAAAATACATGAACAAAGTAGGGTTCTTGTAGTACAGTGGTGACCTCTTTGGAGGTTTTAGCATATTCTCACCATCCCATTTCCTCTGTCACTGTTTTGAAGATATATGTAGTACGGAGTATAACTTTTACAAGCACACTGCTTTCTTTTTATATCTAAAATGAGTAATAATGGATGGAATTTGTTGTTTTGAGTTGGTGTATTTGGTTATACTTATTTAAATCTAGTCTAAATTACTCTCATTAGTTTAAGTTTAATTTGATTTTGGGTATACCATTATGTTTATAGTTCAGCTTCTCGTGGCCAATCAAATTCCCGGCCTACTCAAGAGAACAATAGTGTGGGGATGATGTAATTGAATCAACAAGTAATTCCCAATCTCAAACGGTTTCCGAGTGAGGTGGTTCAGAGCAAAAACACTTGATTCCCTTCATTGACGTAGATAATTCGTTCAAGTTACCATATAAGTGAAAGTGAAGACATTTTCTAAGTGATGATACCCTAACTCATTGAGATTTAGCCAAGCATATCATTTAATCAACATTTAGTCTCACATCAATTATTTCTTCATTTAATGAGGGAAGATATATGTAGTACGGAGTATAACTTTTACAAGCACACTGCTTTCTTTTTATATCTAAAATGAGTAATAATGGATGGAATTTGTTGTTTTGAGTTGGTGTATTTTGGTTATACTTATTTAAATCTAGTCTAAATTACTCTCATTAGTTTAAGTTTAATTTGATTTTGGGTATACCATTATGTTTATAGTTCAGCTTCTCGTGGCCAATCAAATTCCCGGCCTACTCACGAGAACAATAGTGTGGGGATGATGTAATTGAATCAACAAGTAATTCCCAATCTCAAACGGTTTCCGAGTGAGGTGGTTCAGAGCAAAAACACTTGATTCCCTTCATTGACGTAGATAATTCGTTCAAGTTACCATATAAGTGAAAGTGAAGACATTTTCTAAGTGATGATACCCTAACTCATTGAGATTTAGCCAAGCATATCATTTAATCAACATTTAGTCTCACATCAATTATTTCTTCATTTAATGAGGGAAGATATATGTAGTACGGAGTATAACTTTTACAAGCACACTGCTTTCTTTTTATATCTAAAATGAGTAATAATGGATGGAATTTGTTGTTTTGAGTTGGTGTATTTTGGTTATACTTATTTAAATCTAGTCTAAATTACTCTCATTAGTTTAAGTTTAATTTGATTTTGGGTATACCATTATGTTTATAGTTCAGCTTCTCGTGGCCAATCAAATTCCCGGCCTACTCACGAGAACAATAGTGTGGGGATGATGTAATTGAATCAACAAGTAATTCCCAATCTCAAACGGTTTCCGAGTGAGGTGGTTCAGAGCAAAAACACTTGATTCCCTTCATTGACGTAGATAATTCGTTCAAGTTACCATATAAGTGAAAGTGAAGACATTTTCTAAGTGATGATACCCTAACTCATTGAGATTTAGCCAAGCATATCATTTAATCAACATTTAGTCTCACATCAATTATTTCTTCATTTAATGAGGGAAGATATATGTAGTACGGAGTATAACTTTTACAAGCACACTGCTTTCTTTTTATATCTAAAATGAGTAATAATGGATGGAATTTGTTGTTTTGAGTTGGTGTATTTTGGTTATACTTATTTAAATCTAGTCTAAATTACTCTCATTAGTTTAAGTTTAATTTGATTTTAGGTATACCATTATGTTTATAGTTCAGCTCCCAGTGGCCGATCAAGTCCCTGGCCTATTCACGAGAATAATAGTGTGGGGATGATGTAATTGAATCAACAACACGTAATTCCCAATCCAAAGGTGGAATCGCGTACCCAGGTGCCCTCATACCTGACCCGATAGAATGGTGGAAAAGTAAGTAACGGTATGATCTCAAACGATTTCTGAGTGAAGTGGTTCAGAGCAAAAACACTTGATTCCCTTCATTGACGTAGGTAATTCGTTCAAGTTACCATATAAGTGAAAGTGAAGACATTTTTTAAGTGATGATACCCTAACTCATTGAGATTTAGCCAAGCATATCATTTAATCAACATTTAGTCTCACATCAATTATTTATTCATTTAATGAGGGAAGAGATTAAAAAGTCTTTTTTGTCATGTTATGAATGAGAATCAAGACTCAAATGGTATGAGGGTCGGGCTCCTTCCAACATTTATTGGACATTATTGGCCAGGAGGTTGTGAGATGTTGTCTGAAGCTATTTGGTGAAGGTAGTATGCCTAAAGAAGTTAATAGTTTTAAACCTGTTCTTATATCAGAGAAGCAAGCCCCTATGCAAAAAAAAATAAAAACATGGGATGAAAATGATGAGCAAATGACATGATTGACTCTTCTATGAGCAATATTTTGGGTGCCCTCATCAAAATGCGAGTTGTTAACCCATACTTGATCCTATTCGATTTCATTGCAGGAGTTTCGTTAAGTGAACAACACCCACCATCAATATTTGGGAGATATTGAAGGTAAAACGTTCTTTACCATTAAAGACAACAACAACAACATGGATCATCTGGACAACTTTTTGAGATAGCATACACCCAAGCATAAATTCAAATATTAGAGGACCAGCTTCCACAATTTGATCTTAGTAATATTACAAAACTTGCTTCATCTCAATAGCACTCAAGAGCGCCTTCTTGCCTTCCTATCCAACCAGTTCTTGCACCACTTGTTTATGTGATACGACAGATAAGTGATGACTCTTCTAGTTGCGCTTGTGAGTTGTGATGATGAAGAGGATGATGATAACGTGAAAGATGACAACTGATGGAATATATGGACTCCGACCCCCCGGTCTGCCGACTACTGGGCCTGGACAGCGGCCCACACACGTTTAGTGGATATCATTCATATTATTGTACAGTATTATTATTATTCAGATGTTCTAGATTAGTTGTTTGTACTATCAGTCCATTTATGTAACCGGGTCTGTCAGGCCCATATTAGAGGCCCAGACCCGGATTTTCCCTATATATACTCCTTTAGGAGGTTACACAACTCAGACAACTCAAATATACAACCAATATTAATTCATTCATTCTATGCACTTCTTCTCCTTCTCCATTCTTGAGCTAAATTTCTACTAGTTTATACAATATGGGTATCAATTATCCAACAACGGTGCTCTCATTGAGAGTTTGAACAGAATCAAGTAAGAAACCCTCCCCGCTTAACCAAAAACTCTACCGAATTCACAAAAATCCAGTCAAGATCTTTTTGAAAATACAAGAAACTGTTCTGGAAAATCCAGATCTGGGGTATTCCCGGCCAGATCTTAATTGACCGGTCAACCGGAGCAGCTCGCAGTGAGTGAGAGAACATGTCCAGCCCTGTTCCGCTACTAGCAGTTCCTTCCTCCTCCTCTGGCGTGGCACTGCTTCCTTTTACTGTTATTCGTTAACCTGCCTCCATCACAGCGCCCTCACCAGCTGTAGCCCTTTCAGGTTTCATCAACAATATCCGTCATTAATGGCTGGTTGAAGCTCTTGGGGGTAACGACGCAGGCCCGTCGCTTTGCACCTTCCATTGAAGCTCGCTGAAACTCACAAAGTGCGTTTGCATCTCCAGACCTCGCCGTTGTTCGCACCTATCAGTCTGTCACAGTGTCGCCAGGTCGAGGGTGCAGCAGAAGATGGCCGGCCAGAGGTCTCTTCATCACCTAAGGAATCCGAGGACATAACCTATCTTAGGTAACGACAGACCACATGGTTCTCAGCCATGGCAACAGAAACTCCGACGACTCAGCCCTCCCGCCGTGCAGCGGCGATGGCCAAATGACCCCCTCTCTGGAAGATCTGTTCGCTAGAAGCTCAGCAGTGAGGTATCGGGCAACCTAGTTCTCAACCCAGACTTACGTTGCTATTGCTGGAGCTCCATCATTGGGCCAAGTCTACTCCAATCCCAACCTTGATTTCTCACAAACAGTAATGGACCACATATCTCGAGGTCACAATTGTCTCCCGGAGGTTGGAGCTCAAAAAATCTGCTCAGGCCAAGGTCTGGACCTCTGGACGACTTCGCCGGATGACAATGGCCTTGAACGCATCCAGTTTATCCCCATGGCTTGGACCAAGGTCTCACTTCCGTGCCCTCTCTCCGGCGGCGAAAGATACCAAAACTCTTCTGCCCCCCTGAGCTAGTTACGACCATGACAGAGGACTGGGCATTTGGGCAAGGTGTGACGCTCGAAACCTGCGACCCCGCTCCGGCCTTCAGCAGGGACGCCGCCTTTCTTTCTACTGACGGTGATTGTAAGCGGCTGGTGACGTTCTAATCCAGACCTCCGGCAGTGTCGAGGAAAGGGCTGCCCTCACCTAACGTTAGGTGCGGGAAATGAAAACAAGCCACACATCATTGGAAGATCTGCCGATATCGTTTGTGGAAGGACCTACGAGCACATGGGGCGTTAGCTATCAGTAACTCTGCTGACATCAATAACCTGCTAGCACATGGGCGGTCAGCTACTTCGTATTACAGCTCCGCTGGAAAACATAAGGAGAGGCGGTGGGCTAAGATTACATGGAGCCCAAATTGAGTCTCAAAGTTATTGATGGGCCACAATTTTAACAACACTTGAAATTCAGCTCACTTCAAAAAGATAAGTACTCTTTAATTTTCATATTATTTATGCTTATTTAAATCATTTTTTTCGGTTAAATGTCACACTATCACGCAATTATGATCAAATGCCTAGTAGACTGTGGCTTGAGACCCATCACTAAGATTTAAAGCCCTGACCCAGAGCAGGCAGAAAGCCCTGACCAAGTCAGGCACAAAGCCCCGACCAAGTCGGGCATGAAGACCGGTCTTAGTCATTCCAAGAATGGCGACCGTTGCGTACGAATGGCCCACGCATCCACTCTACTAAGTATTTTATCATTACATCGACAATTCACATTTCCACTTTTTTCAAGTGACGAACTCCCGATCGGAAACATAAACCCCAAGGAAAAATTTTATATGCATTTTAAATGTGTAGGTACGAAAATGACTTTACTCATTTCTAACCTCGTCTCCACTCGCCTCAAGGAGTGGGGGACTGGGTTTTTGAGAGGTCAGATATTCTGGATGAGCAGCAGATATCACGCATGAGCAGGAACAACGAGAGCT